AGTTCTGCCTTATGGGGTTGCTGAGGTAACTAAATGAAATGGCATGTGTAAGAGAGTCAGAGTAGGGCCTGGCCTTGCTGACAGCCTCGGCAAGATCAGCACTCTTATCACCTGCTGCACCACTGCTCTTCCTCCTGAAGGCAGGGGCACAGCACCGTTTATGCCTCTGTCACCTGCCCTAGGCCATCCCACCAGACCAGAGCATGGCACGTGTCCATACAGCTGTGTGATTTCTCCAACCAGCCTATGGTTTTTCAGCTTTTTTGTAAAGCACAAAACCTTTTACTCCAACAAAATCTTAGATACTCCCCTAAGATATAACTTAGCCTCTCAGAGTAAAGTTGGGGTTAGCTTGCTGAGCAGGATGCTGTTCCACCCCAAGTCCTGGCTCAGTCCCGAACACATGCTTGTAGCCCCTGGACATACCACATCCCTTTATAATTACTGCAGCTCAGGGATCCCACTCCTGGTTCCCAGACAGTGTGAGTGCTTTGCACACATGAGGCAGGTACCATCATTGCCTCATTTCTCAGAGGAGGAAACTGAGGCTAACTGAGGGAAGGGACTCAGGAAAGGTTGCAGTGTATCCACTGGAGCTGGGAATGGAACCTGGGTCTGGTGAGCAGCACAGCTCACATTCTCATCTACCCCCTGGTGCTGCCTCATTTTTCAGGTCAAAGCTGAGGCCCAGGGAGGACACTTGTCCATGCTGGTGCTTCAGAAAGGATGTGTGTTCACTCTCAATTGGTAGGCAAGTGAAGAATTCCATCCTGCACGGGCACTTGGAACTTGGAACTGCTTGTGATTCATGGGTATGTGGGAAGGGGCACCCACCTCAAGGGGCTGAACCAAGAACACAGCATATTCAGGGGAATAGTTCTTGGTTGAGCCATGCCATACATGAGGCACCATCTAGTCCTAAGGCTTGTCAAGGGTGAAGATGGACATAGTCATGGGAATGCCTTTGATTACAAGTAACAGAGATTCCCAGCTCAGTTGGAGGAAGGTTCTTAGCTTATGGAACACAAAAAGTCCCAAATTACAGAGGCCCCCCGGATTGGGTAATTTCTTGACTCAGAGATCCAGGTTCTTTCCCCTTGTTTTTGTTCTGCCTTTATCAGCCTATAGGCTAGCTCCCCTGACAGTCTCAGGGTGTCTGTCATTCTACCAGGTAGTCACAGTGTCCAGTGGAAGAGGAAGTGTTTTCTGCAAGTGCTTTTTAGTACAAAGATCATCCCCAGAGGTCGCCCAGCAGACAGCACATGCACACACTCCCAACATCTCACTGGCCAGAAGATCGCAGGCCCACCCCACACCCATCCCAGACAAATGGCCTCAACCAATCAGGATTTTCCCCCTGTGCTAGGTGTTAGGTCACCTTCCTCAAGCAAGAGATGGATAAAATCAGCCTTCATTTATAGAATATAGGGGGATTAGGATGATACCCTCAGTGTCTGCCACAGGGCCTGAAGAGGGGGCAAACCCATCTCAAAAGAGGCAATGGATAAAGCCGGCTGGCAGACACAAAGACAAGGGGTATCACCTTTTTCCCTTCCTTCTTTAATCTCATGTTTTTTAGCTCCAAAAGTTGAACATGCCTGATGACAAGGTAGAGAACTATGTGGTGTAGAAAGTAAAAGTAAAGGTAAAATCATTATTATTTATGACATAGTCATAGAGTGTACCCTCTTCAGCCATTGAAGAGAGATGGCCTTGTATGGACTGACATGGAGCGATCTCCAGAACATATTGTTAAGGTAAAAGCCAGATGCAGAGCAAGCTTACAATATGCTGCTGTTTATTTTATAAAGAAAGGTTGGGAGGATACATACTCCCTCTTCACATACATGTGTTTGTGTATGTATAGGTGCTCTGTTGAAGAAGAAAGGGTAGACCAAGTTTGCCTCAAGGAAGGAGACTGAATATCAGATAGCAGTTCCTTTTGCCCTATGCCATATATATAGTTTAATTTGGCTGTTATTCTCTACACATTCCCCATCTTTACTATATCCAGTGATAATCAGTTAGTGTATGCTCCCCCAGAGATTTTTCTCCAAACTTGTATCAGCCCAGTTCTTTGAAACATTTTTTACCATTCCCTTAAGCAGGAAAGGCATTTTATATTGCAATCCACATGGACATCCCTCATGAAGCTCCACAAAACCACTTACCTTTACCTCACACGATGCTCACTGATGGTTTTTATACTCTTATATTTCTCTTCTTCACCCTTAATAATGGTCAAGACCCACTAAATTGATTTCATTACCCACAGTTGGGGAAAAACCTTACATTTCTTTTTGTAAAAAGACAAAACAAAAAATGTCCAATAATCATACAATATAGAGTGGTCTCTTTAATCTATGAAAAGACATTCAGGCTATGTCCAACTTTTCTTGATTACACTCAGCACTGCAGTGACCATCCAAGTATATGTGCCTATATGTACTTGTTCAGGCTTTTCTGTGGCATGGATTTCTGGGACATCATGGGTTAGATTGATGCTACTCATTCTTCATTTCTCAGCTCAGATGCCATTGCCTCCTTGGGAGAGTCCCTCCTGACCATAGTTGACAAAGTCGACTCCAAGTGTTATATACTCCATAGCTCTCTGGACATCCCCCAACAAATGTGCACCCTCAGCTCCATTAATAAATGTTGCTAAATTGTAGAAAACATGTAGTTGGAGCTTGCTTTTTTAAAAATCCAGTCTGATAATTCCTTCCTTTTAATTGGGGTGCTTAAGCATTTACATTTAGCCTCAACTGGTGTGGCCCAGCAGGTTGGGCATTGTCCCGCAAATCAAAAGGTCCCCAGTTTGATTCCCTGTTAGGGCACATGCCTGGGTTGCGGGTCATGTTGTGGTTGCGTGAGAGGCAACCGATCAATGTTTCTCATGCACATTTCTCTTCCCTCCTTCTCCCTCCCTTTCCCTTTCTCTAAAAATAAATCATTAAAATCTTTAAATACATATTTGTGTTAAATGAAACTACTGGTAATGAATGGGTTCACAGTTGCCATTTTGTTCTTGGTTTTCTATATGTCTATCTATCTTGCTCGTCTTTCTTTACTGCCTTCTGTATTAAATAAATGTATTTTAGTATACTGTTTGGATTGCTCTTGATTTTTGGCTATTTTTTAGTTGTTAAAATATGCATCAGGGTAATTCAGATTAATACTAACTTAATTCCAATAAAACATAAACACTTTTCTCCAATATAGCCCCCTTCTCTTCCCCTCCTCTGTGCTGTTTTGTCATATATGTTACAAGCCCAACAATATATTAGTAGTATTATTGCCTTACATAACTTATATTTTTAAGGAAGTTGGAGAAGAAATAAGAAGACATAAATCTGTATAGTCTTTCATTCTAACCCACAAATTTACCATCTTGGATTCTTCATTTCTCCATATAGATTCAGGTCACCACTTTCAGTTATTTTAGCCTGAGGGCTTCTTGTATTACTTTTTAGGCAGATGTGCTAGCAATGCATTTTCTCAGTCATTGTTTATTTGAGAAAATATCTTTATCTTGCCTTCGGTTGTGTAGGATAGTTTTGCTGGATAGAGAATTCTTGGCTGACAGTTTTTTCTTTCAGCCCTTTGAAAATGTCATTTCATTCCATTGTTTCTAATGAAGTTAGCAGCTGACTATATTGCCACTCCTCTGTGCATGATGAATCCTTTTTCTGTTAATGCTTTCAGGATTTTATTCTTAGTGTTTGAATTTCAGCTCTTTTTCTGGGTGTGAATATCTTTATATTTATTCTGCTTGGGGTTTGTTGAGTTTCTCACATATGTAGATGAATGTGTTTCATCAGATTTGGGGAGTTTTCAGCTGTTATTTCTTCAAACCTTTCTTCTGCCCCTTTCTCTCTTCTCCTCATGAAACTCTTGATGTACATATGTTGGTAGGCTTGATGCTGTCCCAGAGGTTCTGCTGTGGCTGAACTTCCTTGTTCATTGAATTGGGCAGGGGGATATGGGAGGAGCCCCAGGCCAAAATGCTTCAGATGTCTCTGTTCTTACCTGAAGTTCAGTTTTTCAAGTACAAATGATTCTTGGATTATTATATGCCCTTGGTCAATTTACAAAATGCTGAAATGGTTGTTTTCGTCAAATTTGTGCTTTTGGGGGAGAGGATTTGCCATCTCATTTGGCCATAGTCAAAAGTTCTACCATTTAATATTGCTAAATTAACCTTCAAAAAGGATTTATTGACTTACACTCCAAAGGCATTAATTTTCTCATTAAATACCCTTTACTCAAAATGGAACTGAAATTTTATTTAAAAGTTGATTGCCTCAGTAGTGTAAGCAGTTGGGTCTCCAAGAGTTGGGTCCTAGTCAATAGCATGAGATTCGTTAAATCATTAATCCCACAGCAATTCAGTATTTGGAATATTGAGCTGTGGTTTTAGATAACTTGGAATAGAGTCTGATATGTCGTAGGTGTGCCTTCAAATTTTTTTGAATGAAGATATCACAAGATATATTTTAAGTTTTTAAAAAAACCCACGTTACAAAACAATATATTAACATAACCGTTATTTGAAAACAATTCTTCCACCCATCACCCCCCCCAAAAAAAAAGATCCTGTTACTATGATTGTATATATTTGTAATATTTACATAGGAAAAGGTTAAGGCCAGAGAACAAACTGTAAACCATGGTTACCTATAGACAGGCAAGCAGGACCCCTACCTTCGGATATGGAGATTGTGCCCAGAAGACAAGGAATCTCATAGGAGGTCATCCACCCAAGTGGGTGACGTTGTTAGATTCCCATAGAGGTACCAAATGTGCTAGAGGGGCATTCCTGGGGTGGGACTGAGTGCTGTGCAGATAGCTGTTCATTTAGAATTTTCTGTAGCAGTAATGTATTTATGTCTCTCATGTGTAAATGAACTTTTTTTATTCCCCAAGAGTAAATTTAAACAGATTGGTTTTCTGATGTGGGATGAATGTGATTACTTAATTCTTTTGTTTTTACTTTGCAGTGACATGAACTCGAGAGCTGGCTACCCTGCTCAGGTTTACAAAACTACCAGTGCAGAGACTCCTCGGCCTTCACAGCTGGCCCAGTCCAGCCCCTTCCAGCTCTCTGCCTCTGTCCCCAAGTCCTTCTTCTCTAAGCAGCCCATGCGCAATAAACACCCAACAGGATGGAAGAGAACAGATGAGCCCCCGCCACGACCACTCCCCTTCACTGACCCAAAGAAGTAAGTGCCTGGGCACCCAGTCCCAGTAAGGTGCTGCAGGAGCCAAGTCTGGTGTCTCAAGACAGGGAAGAGGGTGACATCTCAGTCACCCATCATCAGGACATTGTGCCAATCTCTACACGGGGAATACAGCTGTGAACTGGCACACAGGTCCCTGCCCTCAGGAAGCTGAGATTTTGGCTCAGAAGATGGGCAATAGAAAGAAAAGCGTGCAATAGGTCAGACAGTTGCTAGCACTGTGTGGTGTCTGGATGGAGAACATTCCAGGCAGAGGGAATAGCAACGGCAAAGATCCGAGGCCGGAGCATGCTTGGTCAGTGGGAGGAAGACCAGTGTAGCTAGAACAGTGGAGCACATGACGTCAGAAAGTCTATGGGGACAGATCATGGAGGGTTTTGCGGGCCACCTCTAATGGCCTTGGCATCTGCTGTAAATGAGGTGGTGCCACAGGAGGGTATGGAGCAGAGGAGCAACATGACCTAAATTGGGTGTTCACAGGGTCCCTGCAACTGCCAGCGGGACAGGGCCTATGAGGACCTGCTGTGACAGTCCAGGCAAGAGACAAGGGAGCCAGAAAGGGTGGAGGCCAAGAAGGGTTGCTTTCCGGATAGATTCTCTGCAAAGGGAGCTGACACGGTTGCTAGCAGATTGGCTGTGGTGCAAGAGAGGGCAAGGTAGAAGATGACAGCAGGTCTTATGGCCTGAAGGGTACATTTGCCTTGAACTGAGATGGGACTGAGCAAGAAGTAGGCTTGGGTGGAGCTCCAGAGTTCAGTCCTAGATGGTTATGTTTGTGATGTGCAAAGGACATCAAGGAAGCAGTCAGGTAAGGAGTCTGGAGATCAGGGGAGAGGTCAGGCTGGAGAGAGAAATGTGGGTGTTGTCAGCATGAAAGCACAATGCTGGAGGAGCTTACCAAGGACCAGAATGTAGGTAGAGAAGAAGGGAGGTGTAAGACCGGGCCTGAGGCCCCTCCAGGCACAGAGAATGTGAAGAGGAACCCAGACTAATATGGGGTCCCAGGAGCCCAAGGGTGTTGGACTGGGAGCAGTCAGGTGGGATGAACCTGACACCTGAGTGTCAGAACGAGTCTCGTGAAGGTGCAGAAAAAGATGGAGCAGAATTGGAGGCAGCTGTGTGTGAAGCTCATTTGAAGGGTTTTTCTGTAAAACAAAAGAGAGGAGTATGCAGTTAAGAAAGGGTTTTTGTTTTTTTTAAGTAGATGGATATGATATCTAACATTTAATAAGTACTTACTGTATGCCAGTCTCAGCTTTAAGCTCCTGTATGTCAGCGAATTCAGTGAATCCTCACAAGAGCTCCAAGACAGCTGAGCCCCAGACTTACACGCTGGTAACAGATGGAACTTGGATCAGAGCCTGGGAACCCTGGTCCAGGGCTCCTTTTCTGTTGGTTAGGAGCAGGCCTATCCTCCTCCATCCTATCTCTAACATCATCCTTCATGACCTCGATGGAGCTATTCACATGTGTGGATGACAGAGCTGCGAGGACAGAGGTGTCAGGAGACAGAAGCCAGGTCCCTGGGGATGGTCCCTGCTGAGCTCACACTAAGAATCCAGTTCACACACCTGCCAGCCAGCCAGGACACGCTGAAAACTAGGTTCTCATCATCTCCCCTGACTAAAACCCCCAGCGGCTTCCCCGCTCCCAGGAAAAATGATAAAGTCTCATATTTACTGAGGACATACTTTGTTCCAGGCACCAGTGCACCATGTGTTTTGCCCAAACTCCTTTCCAGACCCTGCTTGACCAACCCCCTCATCTCCCTGCCCTCATGTCTTCCTACTCTTCACCTTGCTCACTCCTCTCTAGCCACAATGGCCTCTTGCCACTCAAATTCGCCAAATACAGGCCTCAGGGCCTCTGCAGAGGCTCAACAATGTCTGGAATTCCTCCAGATCTTCTGACTGAACTAGAGGGGCTCAGTCCAATGTCATCTCCTCAGCCACGGTCCCTGCCGTCATTCTGTCACTTTTCTCTGTTCCACTGCCTGTTTACCCCACAGGAAAGCAGGTGCCACTGTCTTGATTGCTTATAACCTGCCTAGCACTCTGGTTTTCCATCAGTGAATATATGAGCCATGCATCTCGTTCTCACCTCAACCCCATAAGATCTTAAAAAGTCCCTACTTTTCAGGGCGGCCAAGGGGTCAGACCCTGCCCATTCTGTTACACTTCTCCACAGTGGCAGCTGCTCTGGCCACCCATCCCCTGTGTGCTGTTCCCTCTGCGGAAGTGCCCCCACCCATACTGGCTCACTCCTGCCCCTATTGTATTGGTGTGCTCCGGCTGCTGAGACAAAGTACCACAGACTGAGTGGCTCAGCAACAGAAATTTATTGTCTCACAGTTCTGGAGGTTAAAAGTCTGAGACCAAGGTATCTGCAGGAATAGTTTCTTCTGAGGGCCATGAAGGAGACTCTGTTGCACACTTCTCCCCCATCTTCTGCTGATTTGCTGGCAATCTGGGATTTCTTGGCTCATAAATACTTCACTCCAATCTCTGCTTTCGTCTTCACATGGTCTTCTCCCTGTGTGCATGTCTCTGTCCACATTCCCTTTTCCATAAGAACAGCAGTCATATTGGATTAGGGTCCACCTTAATAGCTTCATTTTAGCTTAATTACCTCCATAAAGACCCTGTTTCCAAATAAGGTCACATTCTGAGATTCGTGGGTTTAGGACTTATCTTTTGTGGGGTGACACATAACACAAGCCTTCAGATATTAGCACAGAAATGCCGTCCTCAGAGAAGCCCTTCTAACCCCCATCCAGGCTCATCCCTCCCAACCCTACACTGCTGTTTTTCATGGAGAAAAATCCCAGGGCACATAAGACAGTCATTTGCTAGCAACTTCCTCTATCGCATCTACCAGACTGCGAGATTTAGGGGAGCAGAGACACCTGAACCCCAATCAGGGCCCAATACATAGTAGGTGCTCAGAAAATAGACCTGGACACATGACAAATCTAAGCAAACACACACCTAAATTTTTCTCAGAAAGGCTTTTTACATGTGTATAAACATATGTAAACTAAATCCATAAAATATTTGGGAACACAAATACTTTCACGGATTCTTATAAGATTCATTAATTGATACATCTATTTTTTTCATATGCACAAGATGTTAATTTAGAATTATTGTTTTGGTCCATATGTTCCCATTTCATAAAGCTGTCTTGTTCAAACTGTCCCTGAGCATTTTGGAGATAGTATCTTTGTCGTTGTTAGAGATACATTTGAGTCACTAACCTAGTTTTTCAGAAAACATCGTCACTTCCACCTAAATTATTTGAAATTAAATATGTTTTCTTTTTTAACCTGTATGATGCTATTGCTGAAATTTTATATCAAGGCATAAGAACTCATTTGCATAACTTATTTACCTACATTTACACACCTGCTCTGTCAAGCACTATTGCAAGCCCCTTACCTGCAGTAACTCATTCAGTCCTCACTACAGAATGGTGAGATGTAGTTTCCTTCACGTCCCATTTTCCGGATGAGGAAAATTGAGGTACAGAATGGTTAAGCCACTTGCCCAAATTCACTCAGTCAGTTAAGGTTATTCACTGCAAATATGATTGTTGGTTTTGTAATTTTTGTCCCCACATATTATGAGCCCATCCCCTCCAGGAGTAATTACCAAATCTATCTCCTATATTTCTTTGCCTCCTCGTTCACTGATTCAGGTCATGGCTAAGGCTGTGCATCCTTTAGAGGAATGACAGTGGTTGCAGCCAGCACAGGGTTCCCTGCCTTCATCCACAATACTCCACATGGTTTGGCCCCAGTTATCCTCCTGGCTACCCCATGAAGGGAACCCTGTTTCTACTCCCATTTCCAGGTGAGGAAACTGAGGCACAGCACCTAGCCCAGGTTACCCAGCCAGGAAGTGGCAGGACCAGGAGCCATGCCTGGTAAGATAACTAACTGAGCATCTCGTCATATGAGAGACTCAAAGAAGATGCTCGCACAGGGCAGTGATTCATATTTTATGAGGATCAGTTTCTTAGAGGGGACAATCTCTCCTGTATTTGGCGCTCCCCCTTATGTTTGAGCACATGCTCTGGTGAACAAAAGACAGAGTGAGCTAGTGAAGGACAGAGAATCGGTGTGCGGAGGGGTCAGAGAGCATCTGTCACAGAAAGTCCCTCATGCTCTGCCCTTCTGCTGCAGGCCCCAGCCAGTGCTGGGGGCAGGCCAGCAGCCCCACTTTGACCCCTTTGTCTCAGGACTCCTGATTCATTGGCCTGCCCTCCCAACCTACAAAGGGGCAGAATAGCATGGGGGTCAGGGTGGGAATCCCTGATTGGTTACTTACTCCCTCTCTTTTTTTTTTTTTTTTATTTATTTATTTATTTTTAGAGATAGGGGAAGAGAAGGAAAAAGAGAGAGAAACATGGATGTGTGAGAGATACAGCAATCAATTGCTTCTCACACCCCCACCCCACCTGGGGACCTGGCCTACAACCCAGGCATGTGCTCTGACTTGGAATCGAACTGGCGACCTTTCAGTTTGCAGGCCAGCACTCAATCCACTGAACCACACCAGCCAGGGCCCCTCTCTTTACTTTTTAAAATTTTTTAAAACTTAGTTTCAGGTGTATAAGATATGATTAGACATTTATGCAACTTATTAAGTGATCTACCCATTAAGTCTAGTACCCACCTGGCACAATACAGTTACTATAGTATGATCGACTATATTCCCTGCGCTGTACTTTACATCCTCATGACTGTTTTTATAACTGATAATCTGAACCTCTTAATTCCTTTCCCCTTTCTACCTGTCCCCTACAACCCCCTCCCATCTAGTAATCATCAAATGTTCTCTGTATCTATGATTTTGTTTCTGTTCGTTTGTTTTTAAACTCCACATATAAGTAAAATCATGAGATATTTGTCCTTCTCTGTCCGACTTATTTCACTCAGCACAGTACTCTCTAGGTCCATCCATGTTGTCACAAGTGGGAAG